CTCCCTCTGCCCCGCAGGGCGATGGCTGCCAACTGCGAGCGCACCTTCATCGCCATCAAGCCCGATGGGGTCCAGCGGGGGCTGGTGGGAGAGATCGTCAAGCGGTTCGAGCAGAAGGGCTTCCGGCTGGTGGCCATGAAGTTCGTGCACGTAAGTCTCCGCGCCCGGGGCACGGCCCCTGCGCCGGCTCTGCCCCAGCGCTTCCCCCCCGCTGCCAGAATAGGTACTTAAACACAGGTCCCTTCCTCTGCGGCTTCTCCTGCATCGACGTCTGATGCCGAATTTGCGCGGCGGCTGAAGTAGCGCATCACTGGCCGGGCCGAGCTTCCCCTCAGCCGCAGACGTTTGGGCTCCGCCGTTTCCCACGGCAGCGAGGTTTGCTCGGGTGGCTTAGAGCAGCCGACCTGAGAGCGCTGGGACGACCTTGACTGAAAGGTCGCGTCGGGCGACATCCTCCAGGCACCCTGCGCGCAGCTCATTGCTGGGGAGAACTGTAAGGCAGAGAAATCATTCTGGCGCCCCGCAACGCTGACACGGCTAGGAAGGAAGATGGCAGGACGCGCGCGCCTTCGGCTGCGCACCGGGAGCCTTGACTGAAGTCACGATAGCCTTGCAGCAGCTGTCGATGGTTATTGATGACGGGTGAATCCCGTCACCAGTGCTGCGGCCTTACAGCAGTAACGCCTGCCGTGGTGTGATATTTTGAGGGTGATATTTAACGTTGCGTCTGTCCTTCCAAAGGCCTCCGAAGACCTTCTCAAACAACATTACATCGACCTCAAAGACCGACCGTTCTACCCTGGTTTGGTTAAATACATGAACTCCGGACCTGTTGTGGCCATGGTAAGTGGCTTGATTTTACTTCGAGACTACTCCTTCCTTGAATGTACGTGTCTCGCTCTGTAAATTGTTTTGAAATACTCAGAAACACTGTTACGGAAACACTTTCCCAAACTACCCAGTTCCGATAGTGGCAAAAGAAAACCAAAATTAAAATGAAGACAATCAAGTAAGAAGTAACTGTTTGTTAACCAGAAGGAAAGCGTGCGTGTATAAAACGCATATTAAAATGCTTAGCATGGATTAAACAAAATTCCCGAACGCCAGTCTTCTGCACCAAAGAACCTGTTGTTTTGGGCAGAAACAGGTCGGGGCTCTCCCACAGAAAACCCCTCTTCTGCGTCATTCTTTTTCACACTCCCCCCAAAACAATGAAATTGCCCCTGTAGCGTCTCCTTCCGACTGCACCGCCCGCAGCGCGCCCGGCTGCCCTTACCCTGTCACTGCAGGAAGGTTTCGAGGTTGGCCTCGTACATCAGTTAACCCCGCGGCTTGGTAAAGCTTCTCCTTCACTGGAGTGACGGCGCTGGTGGTCCTTCCTATAATCACTTCCAGTTCATACGTTTTTTTCCCTATTCGTCTCTCCAGGCCTAAGGGGGAGCCTAGGCTGGGTTAATTCTTAGTGGAGGAGCCCTTGTTGCTTTGCAGAGTACGCCACTGGCAAAGATTAATCTGTGGTGTTAGTGTAAGCATGGATTACTAGGATTTGTTTGTCTTTTTTCCTGAAGGTATGGGAAGGACTCAACGTGGTGAAAACCGGGAGAGTAATGCTAGGGGAAACAAACCCTGCCGACTCTAAGCCTGGTACCATCCGTGGCGACTTCTGCATCCAAGTGGGAAGGTTTGTGCTCAGTTTGTTACCGGTCGCGATTAAAAACTCAAGTGGTGGTAGTCTCTTAGGCTAGAAAGTCAATGTTGTTGGCAGATATCCTAGTCTGATGGTATTGTATTTGCAGGTCACAATCCGTAACTGCTACTTAAGAAAATGGCTTTTTTTGAAATAGAGCTCATCAGAGCCTCGTGTCAGATCAGTCAGCGGCGGGGGCTGGGCACCCGG